TTTATTTCCGATGTACAAATGCATAACAATGTATCCATTTGCTACAGCAATGTGTCTTCCAAATTTTTATTATCTTTTTTTTGTTGCTACAGTAAAAAAATATACTAAATTTTAATAAATGTTTGTTTGAATAGTTTTAAAAATATTTTCTAAATATAAATATGTATTTATTTGCGTGATGCAAGAACTATTAATTTTGATTTAACTATTTTTTTTACTAAGAAAATATTCATTTACTGCAAGAAAATGTTTACTTAGTAGTATGATTTAAAAAATGTATTAAAAAAATGTAAGATTTAATAAATTTTTTCAGTGTAATCACGATAAAAAGAGTAATAAAAATATCCTCCTACTTTACATTGTTTTCAGAGTCAGTTCCTTGAACAACAATCTCAAAAAATGCACGATAATATAACACGACTCACCATAAGACTGGTTTTCGTTTGAAGTATCGAACGGATTAACAGCAAATTTCGCACGATGTAGTGAGACAGTTTCATTTCCCCTGCCCTCTCGAGATCAGCAACGCGAGTGCAACATACACGATCGATCGCAGAAGAGGAGGACGGGGAGGATGAGAAGGTGGAGGAGGAGAAGGGAGCGTAGCAACTCGCACCATATAACCGAGTTGTACTGGTCATTCTCCGAAATGCACCTAACATTTTCGCGCGCCGCTTTTTCTATTGATTAACATAGGGCAATGTTGCAGGCAGAACAATACTGGCGTCAAACAACAGAGCGCAATTAAAAGCGGTTATCGAAAATGTTATCGGACCTCGCGAATTGTATTTTGTGGCGAACAAAAGTATTGGATTTTTTATAACGCGATCAAACGTTCGCAAACGATTACAATGCAATAGGGAGTGAAGGGGGAGTACAAGAGGGAGAGGTTAATAATAAAGCTCGCCAGTTTGCAACCACTGTTTCGACCCCCCTCCCCTCAATCCGATCGATCCCGATCTGATAAATCATTCAGTCGGTCGGAAAAAACAACGGTTTCGGCATCACCATCATTTCCGTTGCTACCAACGCTTTTCTCCGTCGATGACAAAGAGTTTCTCTCTCTTTCTCCCGGCGTCGACATAACATAGAATCAAAGCGAAGGTCCGTGGCGCGCTGCCGCTCCACACCGCGCAAAATGGCTCCCTCCTTTTCAGGAATTATCGCGATGTAGGAAGTCTCGCGAGAGCGCAACAGAAGGACGAGAGGAGGACAGAGAGAAGAAGAAAGAGGGAAGAAGAGGAAGGGAGAAGGGAGAGGCAAGCCGAGTGCGGAGGCGGGCAACGGCAACGACGACGACGGCGGCTGCTGTTGGCCGAAAGTTTAAAATAGAATATCTCGCGAGTAACTTTCATCGGTCGTCAAAAAATCGCGCAGTGTCGTATCTAGCGGGGGGCTATACACCCGGCTGCTGCTTTCCTTCTCGTTCTTCTCCTCCTCCTTCTCCTTCTCCTCCTGTTCCTCTTCCACCCACAGCGACGTGGACAGAGGAAAGACGGCGGAAAGAGAAACGTGGAGAGCAGCCCTCTCCATACCGTCGCTTTATGCTATGGGATAGGTTATGCTCAGACATGTAACACACGGTAACGCGCTTATACAGACTCGTGGTGCAGTATTTACTATTATTTGTATAAAATTATCCAAATAATTATTTAGATGAGAAAATAACTTCATCTTATCTTTATCTAGATTATTTGAATATGTATATTATCTTTATTTTTATCTTCAATAAAAGAAGTGTTACATTTCTCAAATTATTTTAATATGTTTAATATGTACCCTCTAATATAGGATTTTAAAAATATCTCCTTTTTTTATAAATCAGATATTTACGTTTTAATGTTGTTAGATCAAAACTGGCTGCTGTCCACGATTTGTAATTCTGAGCATTGACTTAATGTGTGTCTCTCAACGATATCATCTATTACTATCTTTTACTTATTATATTTTTAAAAATAAAGTATTTTTAATATTGAAATATTTTTATGTCCAAAATCTAAATCCAAAGAATTAGATTCTTACTTTTTATCCCCACATATCGAACAGATTTTCTTCTTCAATTATGATATACACACATATCTTGCTATCATTGATACTAGTAAAGCTTCTGGACTACATACATATGTATGTATGTACAATACGAAAATTGTTTGTTAGATGGAATATTTGAAAATTTTTGTTTTAAGAAATAAAGATTTATATTATAAATGAAAATATGAATATATATATATATCGCTTCTATGTTCTAAATTGTTTTATTTAAAAGCACTATTATCTTAAAATTGTCTAGATGAAGCTTTGATATAGATAAATTTAAAATGAAATCACCTTTAGCTTATCTAAAATGTTTACGTGTAATTTACCTTATCTTTATCTACATAATTTTTAGTTATCTAAGCGCTATACTGCACGCGTGTAACACATACATACTCGCGAGTACGTATGCGCAGTGGCGCATCAGAGGCGCGGGCGGGCGTACGGAAAGCGAGAGAATTCAACGACGGTAATTCTTTCGCGAATATATCGGGATACTTTAGCGCTTTTCCAGATCACTAACAGGCCTCGTGGAATTACTAATACGACTGGCCTCCGCAGGGAGTTTTGCATATTTCATCTGTAATCGCTAATGACACGAAATTGGACCTCCTCGAGGCGGGAAATCTTCTTGCTTGTACAAACGAAATCCATTGACCCGATTCACGGTTTTTGCGCGCCGTTGATTCTCCCGCGGGCGACTTTATGAGGGAAACAATAATCATTTCAATGAGAAAATAAATAGAAATGACTGGAATTTTTTTATTACATCCTAATGTATTCATCTCACTTAAAATAACAAATATCTATTTATGGAAACTAGTTAAAAAATTAAAACAAGTTTCCAGTAGTCATCGTAAGAAGTTACCAGAAAATGTTCATCGTTTTCATACGATTTTTTTGCTTTTCGGGATAAAAACGACATTGCTCCAGCCGATTCAAAGGTACGGATGATGCCCCGGTCTCCACGCCAGTGAATGACGTAGCGTAGGTACCCCTGTCCGCCGATCTGCTCTCGTCCGCGTTCTCGCTAGCTCGCGTTAGCTTGCCTAGAGATCGCGCGAGTAAAGTACACACGCTCGCGTCTGTCGGTGGCGCATGCGCCCATACCATCGCGGGCCGCGACTCGACTCGACTCGACTCGGCTCGGCTCCGCCGACTCCGGCTCCGGCTGCTTCTCGGCTCTCCGCGGCTCTCGCCCTCCCCGCCAAGGTGCATGCATGCATTCTATGCGGCGTGCACCGCATTAGATGCATTTCTAAGTCGCGCCGCAATAAATCGCAGAAATATCGAAGTCGAGGCACCGCGAGTACGGTTCGCGCGCGTCCCCGAAAAAGCTCGCAAACTGGTGTGTCAAACCGATACCGTCGCGCGCGCGCGATACCGATCGCCGAAAGGGAGAGACAACCCGGAGAGGGAGCTTGGAGAAATAAGGAGGGAGAGAATAAAAAAAAAAGAGAGCAAAGCGTGACAAAGGGAGAGAGGGCGGAGGTGGAGCAGAAGAGATCGCGCGGTGATAAAGATCGAAAGATATATAGACGATTTCAGTGACGCGCTCCCGCGCAACAGGAGGAGCTTCTCTCTCTCGAACGCGTCGCGGTCGAAAGCTCGCACGACCGAGAAAGCTCGCAAGAAAGGGCCCGCTGCCGAAAGGAAGAACCATCAACCAGTCGACCCGCATCCGGATATTCTTCTATCGTAGTCTGTCTCTTGGCAGTGGCAGTGTGTGTATGTGTGTGTGTGCTACGCGAATTATCATAAAACGCGGTCGTCACGCGTGCACGCTCGTACGCACGTATACGCACGTGCGAGTCGCCGAAGTCGTTCGAGACACCCGGTAAGTCCCTCCTCTCCTTGCAAGGATCCTGGTGGGGATACGATTTAAGAATTCAGTGAGAAAATCGAATTTTCGAAAAGTTTTCGACAACCAGTGTTTTCAGAGAGACTGATTTCCTCCCATGGAAAAATCTACTATCCTCGTGAGAGATATTGAAAAAGAAACATAAATCATCGATCGTCGAAACGCGCCGAATTCGGATCACAGAAATATATGCTTTAGTACGCCGTGTGTAACGGGTGTACAGAGAGCTGACACGAACGAGAACGAGACCGCACGGGACGACTCGCATGCGCCGAGTCCTCCGATAATCCGCATCCGGTTGGCGTTACGAATCGCCGACGCGCCGCAATTGCGCCGTCGCGCTTATCCAATTCTTCCAAGACGAGAATGATGCGCGAATAAAGAATCGACGATCTGGCCGCGTCCAGGGCAAAAGCGGCGAATGATCTAATTGAATCTCTTTACGGATCGATAGAGAGAAAGAAACGATACCGCGAAAGGATAGATCTATGCGGAGAGATCGATCGGCCTGATGCGAGGGTGAATAGCACGAAGAGGCGGAAAAAAATTGTTCGAGAGCCTCGGGAAACTCGCACAGTCGCTATCACGCTCGGTATCATCGACAGCACTACTGTTGCATGTATTTATCGGCACTCGCGGAAAGCCGATTTGCGCTCAATCTCGCGCAAGTAGGTCTGATTTTTATTCCTGCACTATAAATCTCTTTTTCGTTTTCGCCAAATATCAAATATATATCTCTTTCTCACTTTAAGTTCCAAAAGTATACATCAATTCAATCACAGAAGATAGATCTAGGGTCGTTTTCGACACGACGTCGAGCGGCAAGCCGCGACGGATCGGCAGATCGGCGTTCTCACAGCAATATGATACATTAAAGGAGGGCACACAAAATCGGACGACGAAGAATCGGATCCGCGTCGCATCGCGTCGATCGCGATTCACACGCGAATCCGCCGGAGAAGAACGCACGCGCGCGAGCCGAGACTCGATCGATCGTGAAAGTAATCGCGATGCGCGAGATCGACGTACGGTGAGTTACGAAAATCGAAACCAAGCGGAAAAGTGGGCAACGCGGGAAAAGAGGAAGCGTAAGATACGATATCGGATGAACTGGAAAAACAGACTGCGCCGAGTGGAAGAGGATGCCGATGACGACGGGAACGGTGAAGAGAACGACGACGACGACGACGAGGATGACAATTACAATTGCGAGGGAGTCTTGAACGCTGGACTTGCGGAATTTCGACTACTGCGAAGGTAGGAAAGGCCAACACGCACGCCTAAATCGAATGACTATACGGCGCTTTATATACATCTGCTATCGCTATTGCGACACCGAAGGGGACGCTCGCGAGAAGTGATGCGGAAACACGAGGCGATCTTTTTATGCACTGAGAGAAAAATGTACTTACTAAATTTTAATAAATATTTGATCGAATGCCAATTGAATATACTAAAGTATTTATTTGATACAAAAACCATTAATTTGTGATTTAACTATTATTTTTTATTTAGCAAATATGTATTTTCCGTAAATAAATGTTATTATATATTAGTACTTTTTATATTGTTACATTATATTATTCGAACAATTATTTATTCAAATTTAATACATTTTTCTCTGAGTGTAATATCCTCAATTCGAATGAATTAAATGAAAAAAGTAATGATAAAAGTTTAATCCAAATTTAACTGAGAGGTGTAAATTTAATTAACAAGATGTAAAAATTAAACTCGATTATCAAATCAACAATGAAATAATTATTACAATTAATTACAATTATTGCAGTTATTTAAATGTATATGATATATATTAGTTAGGAGAGTTATGGGATAGAGAGGAAAATATATTCTGTATACGTTTCATGCTGGAATAGTATTCCGGTCGATATGCGCGTCATTCTATCGCAAATCGAATCTACGATTCGCAAAAAAAGACTTCAAATCGCTGGCGTCTCGCTTCATTGAATTCTCTCATGCTCGACCTTAACAAACATTAATATTCCTTGCTTGCAGAAACTCTGCTGAGTACGCTTTAGACGCAAAACTACTAACAAAACCGAAAGACGGTGGCGAGCAGGAAAGTGAGATCGGAGAGATTTTCCCGCCGAAAATCTCACGTCACCTACAACCTCCGTTTTTTTCATTTCTCTCCGAAAATTCGCTTTGAATCCTACTGCTGTCGCTATCGGGCTATCTTGCTGTTGCTGCTGCTGTTCTGCCATCCCAGCTTCCTCGACGAACATGCCGAGAGTGTCGACGTAGCTACCTCGAAAACCGACGAGGTATCGAGGATCGACCGTAGACAATCCGTGGCAGGGTTGTGCGGAACGATCGATCGAATAGGTGCCAGAGGGAGAACGGGGACGGGGGATAAAGGTGGTGGTGTACGGGGAAATAGCAAGAGGGTTGGTGTGAGGTTTTGGGATGCGGAGGAGGAGGAGGAAGAGGGCGGGGTGGTGATGGTGGTGGTGATTAGTTGCAGTGTTTTGGAAAACAATGCGCAGAATTTCGACGGCGATAAATAATAAAGGACAAATAAAGTGTATCGGGAAACGGTGAAGTGAACGTGTGTATCAATAAATAATCTGACGGCATATGTATTGTGCGTTGTGTGCCGAGAATAAAAGCGAGATGAGTTTGAAAAAAAAAAATATCCCGTGTTCCGGAAATATTATTTTGCGCGCGCACGCTTCTTCTTTGTCAATCCGGGCTTTTCACGGGGAAAAATTGTGACGTAGCGAGAAAGTTCCAGTATCAGTTTCAGTGAATAACGAATTATTGGCTTGACTCAATAAATTGTTCCGTTCGTCGATCCCGCTCTTTCACATATTATAATATAAGTATTTCTTCTACGTATAAGTAATTATAATTACACTTCACATTGTACTCAGAATATTAAAATCATTGTACCGAAAATCCCTTGTGGAAAAATGGCTAACAGAAATGCGCTTATATACGCACTGCCCGTTTTCCCACACAGAATCCCGGAGAAAAACTCTTGCGCTTCCTTTCCCGCTGAAAAGTATAAATAAACGAGTTCGTCCTACAATAGTCTCGACGTGAATCAGCGGCATGAGAACGATGATGTTACAATTACAATAGCGTGTTTCCAGGAGATACATTCACCGACCCTTCCATCGCCCCTTTGATTCGATCTTTAAACACAGCCCTTAAACAGGTTCAACCCATCTCGAGATACACGTCTGTCGGAAGGGAAGACGAAATATAACGCTCGCACGGGAACGGAAGAGAGAAAGAGACCCGCGAAAAAATGAAAGAATTCTGGACACCGTGATGCACTCGCCCCTTCTCCGACCCCCCACCTATTGCGTGTTCGCGAGGACCCCGTGCGAGATGGGCCATCCCTCTCCCGTACGTAAGGGCCCTTTTGCCCCCCTTTTTTAAGGCGGCCAGCTGCGAGGTCAGTTTTCGACGGGCGCGCGGCGCATTAAGATGCTACGCACAAAATTTGTCATCATCGGTCGGTCATCGTCGCGGATTCTGTGAAATTAGAAGTTTCGGCGAGTTCAACCCCGCGCGAACTCGATGGCGAGAGACGGACGCCGCGAGAAAGAAGGACGAACCGCGGCAAAAGGGGAAAAAGAGAGAGGAGGCGGGCAACGTGCGAGCGCGAGCACTGGCTGGATCGCTTCTGCAGTGATGAACGCGTGATGGATATTAAATGGACGCACGGTACGCATCGACAGATTAATTCCATTTACGAGGTGCTGCTGCTTTTGTCCGGGGAGATTTTAACAAATATATGAGTTATATGCGCAACGTGTGCGCCCGACTAAAAATACTCACGAATCGCTTTTCGGCGCTTTGTCGTTGCATGGAATTGCTCGCGAACGAATATCGGATCGATTGTTACAGGCTGCTAATGTGCACACGACATTGTCGCGTCGTAGAATGATCCGCGCGCGAAGTTAGTTCAATTCTCGACGTTCACCTCGGATCACCTCAATCGCGTGATGTTTCCGAATTTTGTCAATTTTATTTTATTAATTTCATTAAATTTTATTAATTTACTCTTAAATTAAAAAAAAAAGAGACACTCTCTCGTATATCGCGAGGAGTGGCTTGGGACAAAATGTTCCCTCTCATAATTACGAATGTGAAACTGTAGAATGTTCATCGGTGTGACGTTAACGCGCTCGTGAAATTCCCAATAATGATAAGTTTTAATTTTCCCATTTAAACAACGGGTCTGATGTACCCGTTGATCACGTCGAAATATCTCTCTTTCGTTGGCAAGGGTCGAAACATCGGTCCCTCTCATTCTCTCGCGCAGTTCAATCGAAATGATGGCCGAACGAATGTAACACACACGCACGTAATGTCAATCGTACGAATCCGGTCGCGCGCGTTTAGCTGTAACCCTTTACTCAAGTGCGATGTATCCTGATGCCCGTGATTTCATGTTATTCGAGCGGTTTCGAATACTTCTCCGAGTCTCTTTCGCTCCACATCTATGTCCTCGCTCTCATCTACACGCACCTTTCTTGCCACCGTTCAAATAATTAATCGCAAATAGTCTGTGCCCGATGGAAAGTGGACGCGATGGAAAAGACGGGAACGTGGGAGGGAGGGGAGGGTTTGTCGTGCCGCCCTTCGATCCTTTCGAGCCGCTGAGGCACGGCCTGACGTTTAATTTCGCTAATTTCTTTTCTCCCGTTCGAATTACTCGCGGTACGACGCTTCGTCCCCGACGTAAGGGTTGGCTCCTACTACCCCGAGTCACCCTTACATTTTCTTTCTTCTCGAAAGCGCGAGGAAGATCCTCGGGCACGAGGGTGCGAGGAGGGTGGAGAATGGGACCAGCCTGCCATGAGAATGAGGGCCGGAAAAATAATTACTCTCTGCACACCGCGAGAAGAATACTCGGAGCCTGTTCCAGGATGATGAGCGGGGACAGAAAAAAAAGGATCGAGTGGTTCTCTTAAGCTCGTTCTCCGCTTCTGTCTTCTCTCGCTACCACACTGCAATATTAATAACAGTATTTTTTCGCTCTTTTCATTCTGAATATACTAGAAGCGATTATATCTATCTTTAATATATGTAAATCGCGTATCTTGATAAAATAGAAGAAGAAGAAGAAGGAGATATTAAAACGGGCACTATTTTAAGATGCTGTAATTTTAATTTCTCTCAGTGATTTCTCTCTTGAATATAAAAGTTTTGTGAATAATTCGTATCGTAATGTATATTAACACTACAGACGAAGTTTTAAGTACGTCGCGCCAAATAATTTTCGTCGCGCTATAAAGTATGGCGCGAAAAAGATAATAATTCATTCTCAATGATGGACATTGCTATTTTCGGCAGTCAAAACGATGGATTAATACTATTTTACCAGGAAATATATGTACGCGATAAAAATAGATTTATTACTACGAAAAGGTACGCTAATTTGAGTCGCGCTCGGCGCGTTAAAGTTTATCCGATGTTTCGTCTATTCATATACGAATAACGTGATTAAAAAAATATTTAGCCAATTAAATGAATCAAAATGAATAAAACGGAAGAACCGGCTCGACGGTATATAAAATGTTCATAAAGCCGCAAAAATTTAATACTTCATAAATTGTTCGATAAAATGCAATGGCTGTTTGTTTTGTTACAAAATGTAATAGGCAAATAAAATCAATGGAAAATATAATTATTGAAAAAGGGTTGTTATGCGACAAAACATTGGAAAAAAAAATTTAGCTTTCAATTGGTCAAAAAGAGGAAGAGTAAAAAGTAACTTCTTTTACGCGAGATTCCATTATCCTTACGACAGATTGAATCGTCCAATTGCGAGCCGGAAATTAGATTTTTTCTTTCTTTCCGAGAGGAGAAAAAGTTCTTTCTCATTCTCTCTTATCCCTCAGTCGCTGAAATTTAAGTAGTCAGAAAGCCATCGTCCATGGTCTGAATAATGAAAATTGTCTCTTGAAGCTCTCGACGCAAAAAACTAAAAATCATCCGCGTTTGATCGATCCGCTACTGTTTGATATGTACAATGTACCTTTTGATTGTATTCAGTTATGAAAAAAGAGTATCCGTCCCACAAAGTCATTTCAATTGCGCTTTATTGATCAAAACAATGGAAGAGCCACGTAACGAATGGAAGAGAACGATGGACGTTACAGAGTGAGAGGGGGAGTTTAAAGAGACGGAATAAGAGCGTGGAAAAGGGTCGGGGGAAATACAGAGAGGGTGGGTCGCTGCTGACGAAAGATGGCGTAAAAATGGAGGGTGAAAAATATGGAAAGGGCGAGCCTCGTGCTACGATTCTCTTTCTTTCTCTCTCCTTTTTTCTTTCTCGTTTCCTTTTGGGCGTTCCAGTGGGAATACGCCTACCGAGACGCGTTGGAAGATTTCGAAATTTCGCAGGTGGCATCCCTAGGGCCATGCGGGGTAACTTTTTAAGACGATTTCCATTAGCATGTCGAAGAGGGATACTCGTTGTTTAATACCGCGACTTACAAATGGAAATATCTTAAAAGCATCGATATGATACAGTTTTGGTTAAAAAAAAAAGAGAGAAACGGATCAACTTTTAAATGCGCAATTCTCATTGTTGCCGGTCGTTTAGTCTGCAACGACGACGAAACGTTATATTCTCACATCAAACGCAATTTTCTTATTACAATGATAATTGTGCAAATTGTACTTCTATAAATATTATAAATCCAATTCCGTTTTTACTTCTCTGAAATGTTAAAGCCGATAAAAGTAAATTTACATTTATTATGTACGTGCTATTTTAACTTGCAGCAACGCCTGTTTCGTGACGCGAATATCCGCGGGTTAATTTCAACTCATCGATTAATCCATTGGCGAGATCGACGTGCATTTATGCGGTAACGCTAGAAAAGTCTGCTCGCGTCGTTCGGCCAACTTTTCCGCGATAGAATAGAGCAAGATAGAGGGGGCGGGGGAGGGACAGAGATGCACTGAAGAGCGGAAGGTCTAATTTTACGGATTTTCTCGCATTCCGAATAATTCAAGGCTGCGTCCGGGGGCTGAATAGGGGCGAGAAGAGAAGGGATGCAGGCAGGGGGCGACGGGTAGGCGGGTACCAAAGTTAAAACAAACATTTTTGCGCGTGTGAGCTTCGGCCATAAAGCTCTGCCCAGCCAAATGCATCGGTCGGCGGTTGCATAACACTCGAGAATAGCCGCGGAAAATGGTGGACCTTCTCTCTCCTACCTTTTTCTTTTTTAGACCGCGCCGAGTGTGGCTAGCCGGGCAACGGCGCGGGAGCTTCGTTTTGCAACTGATTTGGCCGTTCGAGGACAATCCATCGATCGCATGCGGACGAACGCGCGAGAGCGTTGCGCTTCCCCCGTCCGGGACAACGGTATTAATTAAATTTCGTTTGCCCGTAATTAAAATACGCACATACAGCTTTCTTTCTTTCTCCCTTCGGCGTGAAACGCGGCGTGATTTGATATAGGACGAACGTGGGCTGAATGACCGAAAAGTCGCGATTTAAAACAACGTCTTTTGCCAAATGCCAAGCCGGCACTCTTGC